TGACTTAAATATATTTGATAATCTTTCATCTTTTACTTTTTCATTTAAATCGTTTTATTTTTAATACACCGAAATATTTAATAGGATCAAATAAATAAATATCTTATAGAAATATTTATTTAATAATTGTTATATCTATTTATTTTTAATCTTAATAATATTTAAAAAAATAAATAGAAATAACAATTAAATATATTTTTTTTAATTATTCTCTAATTCTTCTTTTTTGAAAATGTTTTAATTTTTTCGTTTATAATTTGTATTTTATTTTAATTATAGATATTATCTTTAAAAATTTATAATAAAGTTATAGTTAGATGAGTTAACTTTTTATAAGTCTTATGAAAAAGACATCTTTATTTTGAAAAACATTATTAATATATATATATATATATATATATATATATATATATATATATATATATATATATTATTATAGAATAATTATTTTTCAATAAATTTTTATTTAATTTATTTAAATTTTATTTTTGTAATATTTTTTTTTTTATAAATATACATTTTTTTTTTGGAATTAAACATAACAAATTATTTAAAAAGTTTATTATATAACATTGTATTTTAGCCTTAGAAATAATCATTAAGTATTTTATATTTGTTATTACTAAAAATCCAAAATTTATTATATTATATTTTAATTAAATAATATATTTAATATATTATAATCATTATTTTATTTAAATTATTTTAGATTTTCTAAATTTAAAGATATTATATTTTTAAAATTTTCATTATCAAATAAATATTTTGGTCCAATAAATACTGTCGGATCACTCGAATCTTATATATATAAAATATTCTTAGAATCGAAAAATTGAATATCATTATTTTTAAATTTACTTAATATTTATTACTTATTTAAAATTTTATGAAAATACATAATCATGATAAAACTACAATAAATTAATAAAATAATTCATTTAAATTTTGCTATTAAATTTTTATTAAATACTCTTATTTTTAATCCAATTTATTTTCAATTTAAGGCAATAAATTTTTTTATTACAAGAAAAAAATTGTCATAATTGATAAGCAATGTGAATTTAATGAATATTTTCCCCCAATTTAATTATTATAAGCCCATAATTTTACAATAATGAGTAGTTATCTAAATATATCATCATAACTTATAAATTAATAAATTATTTCTGTATTTTTTTTTGCATTAAAATTATTAAAAGAAAGATCTATTTTTAGTTAAAAACTACAATTAAATTCAAGAATAGGGACCTTAGTATTTTTAATAAAATTAATTGAAAAAAATTATTTATAATCTTAATTTACAGTGAAATAATCATATAAATATTAATAAATTTAATCTTCATTCTCTATAAAAATAGCCAAATCGACATCAGAAAAGCATTTAATTTACGTTCCCGAATAAAATGAACCTAAAATATAGCAAATAGTTTTTTGTTTGTATTTATTATATAATATTTTAGATATAAAAGCAACTATAATTTCGATTTAATTAATTTATTATTCAATTTAATTATTTTAAGGTTATTAAGATTATATATAATTTAAAAAAATATCTTTATTTATATTTATTTATTTTTTTTCTTCAAAAAAGTATCCTTAAAATTCAATTCTATATTTTTTATTATCATAAAATTATTAATGATTATATTAATGAAAGTAATATGTAATGTTTAGTATGCGATGTAAATTTAATAAAATAACTAATTTTTTCAAAGCGAATATATCTTCTAGATTTTTCCAACTTGCATCTATGAATACACTAATTTAGCTTTTTAATTATTCAATTAAATTTGGTCTGTTTTTAATCATATATAATAATTTTTTTATATAATAAACTAGCTAATTATGTAAAATATTATAATTTGATTCCTTTACAATTTATATTCCTTAATATATTAATTTTTTAGGCAAATTCATTTTTTTAAAAAATAATTGTTTAGATTAATTAATACTTAAATGTTTTTCAATAATTATATAATTTTTAATTTAATTATATTCCTGAAAAAAAATCTAATTTTTTTAGTTTATTTATATATTATAAGGATTTTTATAATAATTAATTTATATATTTGATTATACTAAAATATTAAAAGTTTTATATAATATTATGTAATATGTTTAAAGTAAATAGTAATTTTTTAGAGTTTTGAATTAAATTAGTTTATTATTTTTAAAATTAAAAAATATTATTATTATAAATCACAAATTTATTATTTCATATTTTTTATATTATATTTATTTATTATATTGAATATTAATAAAATTATATAAAATAAACTTTATAATTATTTATGAAAAATAATTATAATTTCTTTTTATATATTAATATTTTAATATTAAGTACAAACACTATTATTTTGAGATAAATTATTTAATATAAATAAAAAATAATATCTAATTAAATGATTAAAAATGTAATGAGAAAAATTAAATCTTATGGAGATTTAGATTAACTTTTGTTTTATAGTGAACATGATATAGATAAAAATGAAAACTAAGATACTTATATAAACAGAGATTCTAACAATCTTTTTAAATCAGAATAATATAAAATAAATCAAAAAATAAAGCAAGAATTCTATTATAATATATAAAATATGAATACAATTTAAAATATTGAAATCGAAAACACATTAAATGTTGAAAACAATAGAGAATAATTTACAGTAAATATAAATATATTTTTTATAGTCATTTATAAATTTCTTTTAGTTGTATTATATTAAAGTAACTACTAATATGATTAATTATTAAATATAAAGGCGCTATTCTTAATTTAGAACTTTGAAAATAAAAGTATTAATATCTTTTTTATTTTAAAAATGTTTATTATTTATTATATTAAGCTTGATTATAAATATAAATAACTTTAATTTGATAATTTTCCTAAAAAAAAATTGATAGGTTCCATGAATTAAAAAACTATAGAAAAAAGAAAAAATCAATTAAATGGTTTAAAAATTAATATTAATTAAAATAAATATTTATTTTTATAATTTAGAATTTCTCAATTTTTTATTTAAGCATTATTAAGAATAATAAATTTGGGAATTTCTTGATTTTATAAATATATTTGGTAAAGTATAGTATAAATTATTAATTAATTTTTTTTTTTTTTTAAAAAAAAAGAGGAATTCAGAAAACATAATATATAAGATTATTATAGAGAAAAAATAGATTCATTAAAAGATGGTTAATTAGAAAAAAATCAATAAATAAGAGACTCGGTAACTTTAATACCTTAAAATGAATATGAATAATAAATGCTTTAAATATTAGAAAAACTTAATATTAACTAAGAAAATTCAATATATAGATTTTAGTTAATTTTATTTTTTGTAAAAATTAATTTATATTAAAAAAAAAATAGAAAATTTAGAGATTTTTATTTTATAGAAAAGCCTATCCTATGTACAGCGTTTATACCATTAATTTTAAATGTATATATTTGAAAAAAAAAAAAAAATTAGCAAATATAATGTGTAAAAAAGGGATAAAATAAACTAAAAGGAATAATCGAAATATCTTTAATGTGTTAAAAAGATTATAATAATGATGTGCATATAGTATGTTGTAAAGGTTTAAAACTTGTTTTAGATTTAATGGACTTAGAGAAAAATCCTTGTAAATTTAATTATAAAAAAATATTATTTTCATTTATAAAAAAATAAATACATTAATATATAATTTCAAAGCTGCTTAATTATTCATAGATGCTTATTGCTCTCTTACTTTTTAGAATATAAAAAAGCTTAATTTTAGTAAAATAAAATATTTAAAAATAAAAAAAAATTAAATAAAGAGGCTCATATATTAAAAAAATAACCAAAACAATGCAAAAAATATGCTTTAAAATTATTTAAAACTTATTTTGAAATTCATTAATAAAACTTAAATAAAATTTCTCGATAATTAATTATTGATGATAAAAGTTTTGAAGAATATATAAAATTTGTAAAACCATAAAATGTGCCTAAACAATTACTTGTTTAAAATATAGAAGCATATTAAGATTTACCTAGTCCATTAAAAAATATTGAATATAACAAAAATCTAAATAAAAATTATGTTTTAGAAGATTTTATATAAATTCTAGATTAAAATTAAGATTAATGGTAAAATATATATGAATTAGATAATTAAATATCTATAAAATAATAATAATCTGAAGACAAATTTAAAAAAATTTCTTTTTGCCTGAAAACATCGGCATAAGAAGTATTATTTTAGCTTACTGAAAATAGATAAGAATGGAATTAGTTAGTATATTAAAAAATATATACATAAAATTGATAAAATATTTTTTTTATTATTCAAAAAAAAAAAAGCTTTAAAGTTATACCATATTAAAATAAGAAGAAGATAATTAATAAATAATTAAAGACACCTATTATTTTCAAAGATATTATTCAGGAATGAAATATATAAGTTATTTATACAAAATGAAGATAATAAAATAAGAATAAAATAATATTCATTATATTATAAAATATACTTTTGAAGATATAAATGAATTTATTTAAAAAAACGAAGAAATCGGTATTTTATTCTAAATATATAAAAATTAAATTTTAAAAAATAGCTTAATGGATATAATGTATTAGAATATAAGAAATCAAAGAAAATGAATAATAAATTAAATGTGAAATAAATATTATTATTAAATGTATTGATTTCAATTCTAATATATTTCTAAGTCCTTTTTTATTAGGAGAAAACAAAACTATGATTAATAATTATATCAAATTAATAGAAAAATATAAATGAAATAATTAAAAAAATAGTTTTTATATTCATTTTTATAAAGAAAATGTTATAATATTTAATTTTATTATTTATAACAAAAATTAATATTAGATATAAAAATATATTATTATATTTATATTAAATTTATTATTATTTTTTTATATTAAATAAATATTTTTACTAAATTTTGATAAATAAATTAAAGGAAAAAAAAATATATACATTCAATTTTATTTAATGAATACTGCATAAATTGTTCATACCCCAGTACATAAAGCCCATATACACTATTTTGACTTTATTGAATCGTTCCCAAAAATGAAAGAAGGTCCAAATGATTAAGAAAAACATGTTTAATATTAGTAAATTTTAAGAGATTAATTAATTAATGGACAATCAGGACTTGAATAATGTAATAATATTATTTATAATTATTATAAGATTTTTTAGTTTTTTTTCATGAATAATTTTTTTTAATTATAAAATTTTAGAACTTTGCTTAAGAAACTGCTTTAAAATGTCTGAAAAGAAATATGTCGAATTCTGCTTAGATAGAAAATGTGGAGGTGTCGACATATAAAAAGCAGGCAAAATTCTTGGTTATGTTAAAAATTGAAAAAAATCAAAAATCAAAAAAATAATAAAATAATAATTATCTTATTAAAAAAATAAAAAATAAAAAAATATTAAAATATAAATTTGCATTTGTTTTTTTTAAATAAATCAAAATAAAAATTAGAAAATAAATTATAAAATAAATTAAATATGCAAGAAGAATAATTATACACATAATTCATAGTTTTGTCAATATTTTTTATTTACTTTATATATTCATACAGTAATAAAGAGGTATCGTATTTTGTTTAACTGATAACATATGTATCTTTATTTGTATGTTTTTCTTAACTATTATATTTTCCTTAAGATTTATCTTTAAATATAAATAATTTAGAGTAGACTTCTAACATAACTTTTTCATTATATTGGACTCTTCAATTACTATCTTGGTTAATAATTCCAATCTTATAAAGTTACTAATAATCAGGTTATTTAGATTAATAAAAAAAATGGCAATCCACAGTTAAAAAAAGTGGAACATATTTTATATTATTAATATCTATAGTCTTAGGGTTTATTTATGTTTTATATGCATGGTAACTTATTGATAATTTAGATATTTTTGCTTTTTTAAAAGCTCTTTCAAATTCTAGTGGAATATTTTAAATAATAGTAATGTTATCTTATTCATTAGTTGCAATTCCAAAAGCCTAATTAAAAACAATTAATAATGACATGCATTTAAAGTATATATACTTCAAAGTTGCATAATTGAAATAAGATCAGTAAAGTTCTTTATAAAACCTTTTGGATTTATTATAAAAAATAGTCCTTATAAAAAATGTTGAAAGAGATAATTTAGAAATACTCGACTATTGCGAAAATGTTATAAATTTTATTCCAGAAGCAATTTCTACTTAAGTTATTCAAGAACTCAGAAATGCAAAATAGAGTTCTTTAAAATCATCACCTGTCCCTGAATATAATTTTGAATATATAGTTGAACTTAGAACATAAATAAAACATTTATTAGGAGAAATAAAAAGGTATATTAATTATAAATAATAGTTTTATAAAAAAAAAATAGATCAAGAAATAGTATGAATTTATTATTAAGGGAGGCTTTTTGGGTATAAGATGTAATAAATAGTTAATATAATTTGGAAGATTAATAAATATTTTCGAGTATTTATAGACCTCATAGAGGTTGGATGGCAGAATTAAGAAATACTTTATAATGGTATTGGTATATTTAATGGAAAAGTTAAATGAAAATAGTCTGGATTGTATTATTTTATATAATTTCTTTAATAATTTTAGAAAGTGAAGTTAGTCTTTTTTATGATAAATAATACTCTGCCTTAGCATACATATTTAATATGTTTTAGTAGTATTAAATAGATGTATTTTATTTACATATTTTTATTTTAGCTCTTATTTTTTTCATGCTTTTTTAATCTTAATACGGGCTTTTTAAAAATAAGATTAGCGGTTTTTATGGATTATATTCTAATAATAATACTGATGCTGGTAGTTTATTATTTATTTGTGTGAATTTAACAAGGACTACAGTCCCTTTATGTTATAATTTTCTTGACATGATAAATGTTAAAAATACACAAATAAATAATGTACTTGGGGATGTTGAAAACATTCCAATTCTAGGTAAACATTTCACATTAACTTTTCCTGCTGTAATGGTTGTACTTGTATTATTACATTATCTTAATTTTTACAATAGAATTTTAAATTTAATTGGACTTTAAGTATTTAAATTTAGTGAAGATTTCAATTAGTAATTAATAGGGGAAGGTTTTGGAATCGTTAGAGAAGCAAGAATGGAAGAAGAAGGAAAAATTCATTCATAACCTTAACATGTAGAAATCGATAGAAGTTCATATTTTATAAGATTGATTGATAAAGAATGATTTTTATTTATTTTATAAAATTATATTTTTTATAATTTATTTTATTAATTTTTTGAAAAATATGTGATTGTTTTTAAATTGATTTTTATATAAATCAAATTTTAACAATTAATTAAAATTACATATAAATAAAATAAAAAAGATTAATTTTGTTTATTAATATTATAAAACGATATTTAAGAAAAAAAAAAAAACTTAAAAAGCAATTTATGAAAAACATAAATTAAACAATATAATTAAATTTTGAAAACGGGCATGAAATAAAAAAATTAAAAGATATAAATTCAATAGCAAATAAAAATATACAATAAATATTATTAAACAAGAGACTTAATTATTTTACAAAAATTACATGTTTCTTTTATTTTAATAAAAATTAAAAAAAAAACAATATTACTTATTCCATTATAAAACTTTAAAAAAAAATATTTAAAAAAAATAAAAAATACAAATATGTCGAGTTTTTTCCGTTCGGAGGAGATGAACTTATATTAATTTTTAATACCTAGAGAAAATGCATATAATTTATTAAATTAATTAGGAGATTTAAATATTCTTCATTTTATAGATGCAGATTCTTAAACCCCATATTTCAACCGACCATTTTTTAATAATATTAAAAGATAGGATGAATTACTAAGCAAAATAAAATAAATACACACATACATGAAATAACAAGGTATAAACTCAAATCTAGCATCTAGTAATATCCAAGATTATTTAGAAATACACGCAAAGAAATAAAAATAAGTACAATTTGCTAAAGAAAGATAAATAGATGATATCGAATTAAAATTAAATTAAAATGTAAAAAAACAAAAACAAAAAATTTAAAATAATATAAATAGTTAAAAAATATCGAAAACAACTTAAATGCAATATAAGAAATAGTAAAGTAAATGAATATTTTAATCGAATAAAGAGCTTGTTTAGAAAATATTCAAAATTTAAATAATTCTGAAGAAAATGTTTGTATTGGAAAAATAACAGGAACAATAAATACTGTAGATAGACCCCGTTTTTATAAACTTGTTTTTCGTTAATCTAAAGGAAATTGCTTGGTAATTATGAAGGATATTGATTATCCTAATATGCATATTTTGAATCCTCATAACCCTCAGTAAGAATTAAAAAAGTCATTTTTTTAATTGATTTTTAATACTTCCTAATCTCGAGTTTTAAATGAAAAACTTAAAAAAATATGCTAAGTTTTCGATGCTCATATATACACAGATATACATTAATAGCAAGATTTAGAATAAAATGAAATCTAATACTAGAAAAGCAAAGAAATATTAAGTTTAACAAATAATGAATTAGAGCAATAATTTGACCTTTTATTAACTAAAACGGACGAAATTTCACTCCTCGATTATTACTATTACACTATATTGAGAGAAAAAAACATTTACCATCACCTTAATCTAACTAAAAGTACGCATTCAATTTTAAAAGGATTGGTTTGGCTTCCAAAAAAACAAGAAGAATTTATTTTTGCACATTTAAATAAATACCAAGAGTAAAATCAATCACCTGCATAAATGCATATAATTGAAAATGTGGACAATTTGACACCTCCAACAAAAATTATGAATAATTAATTTGTTTATGCCTTCCAAGAAATCGTTAACACATACGGGATTCCAAAATATTAGGAAATAAATCCTGGACTATACGCAATAGTAAGTTTCCCTTTTCTCTTTGGAGTGATGTTCGGGGATATTGGGCATGGTATGCTTTTAGCAAATTTTGGATTATATTTAATTTACAAAACAAACAAAAATAATGAACGTGAAATGCTTTACAGATGTAGATATTTGGTTACTTTAATGGGATTTTTTGCAATTTTTTGTGGATTTATATACAATGATTTCATGAGTTTACCTTTAAATTTATTAGGATCATGTTATTAAAATGAAGAAACAAATTAAAGAGAAGACGAAAACTGTATATATAAATTTGGATTAGACCCAGTATGGTTAGTTTCGCAAAATAATTTGCAATTTTACAATTCATTCAAAATGAAACTTTCAATTGTTTTGGGAGTTTCTTAAATGATTTTAGGTATTTTCCTTAAAGGAATTAATAATTGTTTATCTTTTAACCTTATTGACTTTTTCTTTGAATTTTTACCTTAGCTATTTTTTATGCTTTCCACTTTCGGATATATGGTACTTTTGATAATTCTTAAATGGACAACCAATTTTAAAGAATAGAATCCTCCTTCTTTGCTTAATATGATGCTTAATTTAGGTTTAAAAGGTGGAAAAATAAGCGAAAATGAAAATCTTTTGATTCATTTTGGCATAAATAAAGAAGGGTAGGAATATTTTTAAGGTTTTTTAGTTTCTATGGCTTTCCTATGTGTTCCTTTGATGCTTTTACCAAAGCCTTTTTTTGTTTATCTGAAGAATAAAAAAAGTGAGCATGAAAATCATGAATATTAGCCTTTGAAATAAAATGATGAGGAAAACTTAATATCTGATGTATAAGAGGAGCTTAAAAAAAAAGAAACAAACAACTAAGAAATTCACAATAGTAATCATGATGACGATTTCTAGGAAATTCTTGTGCATTAAGTCATTGAAAGTATTGAATTTGTGCTCGGAAGTATATCACATACAGCTTCTTATTTGAGATTATGGGCTCTTTCGTTAGCACATTCTTAATTGGCGCATGTTTTTTTCCAAAAAACACTTGAAGGAGCTATTTAAAATGCTAATGCTGCAGGAATTGTAGTTGGTTTTTTAGTATTTTCGGGAGTTACATTTGGGGTGTTAATGTGTATGGATGTTATGGAGTGCTTTTTGCATACTTTGAGATTACATTGGGTGGAGTTTTAAAGTAAATTTTACAAAGCTGATGGAATTTTATTTAAGCCCTTTTCCTTTTTATTTGAATTGGAATAGATACAAGGCGTTTAGTATGGTGAATGATTGATTTTTTATTTTTAAAAAATATCTAATTAAATTTATTTGTATTTTTTTTATTAGACTTATTTTATTTTAAATATTAGAATATTTTATAATTTCTATATTTTAATATAAAATATAGACTTTTAAAATTTAATATTTAATTAAATCATAAAAAGAAAATTTAAACTAGTTAAAAAAGTTAAAAATATGAAATCAAATAATTTTTTTTTTTACAAAAAAAAAAAATATAATATTTTTTGAAGTGTATATATTATTTTATTTATAAAAACATAATTTTAAAAATATTAATAAACTAAATAAAATATTTAAAAATAATAATAATACTGAAAAAATCTACAAAAAAAAATATATATTTATAAAAAATCACCATTTAGCTTTATGATATTCACTTAATCCTTAAATATTTTCAAAACTAATTTTATTTCCATTTTCATCAATAAACCATCCACTAATAGTTCCAAAATATTACTTAAAATGCGACTAAATAACAAAGTAGTTTTCATCTTTTAAATTCGAATTTTTTATTTTAAATTTCGCATAAAAGCTTCCAGCTCCTTATTTTTAAGTTGTATATAATTCTAAATCCTCGTTTAAATTATCTTCATTTAATTTTCTATTCACAATATGTAGTTTATGTAATCTACCACCTAAAATAACTGAATCTTCATAAGTATTAGTACTTTCATGTTCAAACCCATTTCCTAAATTAATTCCTATACTAACTTTTTTCCCATTCACATTTGTAAATCCTTAGAAATGTGCCCAAAACCAAAAAGAGTAATAATTCCAAACTCCTCTCCCAATATCTCTTCCTCCAAGACTGTTTAACTATTCCAAATTAAAAATTTTATTCTTAAAATTTACTTCTCCCTTAACATTTAAGCAATAAGATTTCGTATTATAATAAAACATCGAACCTTAAGCATTTAAAGGACTTACCATTACAACTTCTTCGTGTTTATCGTCTTTAAATAGACTTAATTTTGCATTCAGATTTGCCGAACTTATTTAAATATTAGCCACATTTTAACTTCCAATATGTTGATATTCTACAGAAATTCCCAAATTTTCACTTTTATAAAAATAAGAACCTTCGAAAGAATTGGAAGTAGAAGGTAATTAAGGTTTTTTGAAATAATTATATATATTATTAACAACCTAATGCAATTCTCCAGTCTAATTATCATAATATATTAGATAAGTGTTTCCTACATATCCTAAATCTGCAATACATATAATCAATTAGAAATCATCATTCACAATATTGAAATAATCCCATTTTTTATATCTTAAAAAGTTTAACCTTTTATTTCCTAAAACATGAGGATATATATCTTCTTCATTTAAGATTTTAAATGTTTACGAGCAAATCCTGTTTCTATTAATTAACCAGTAGAATTCAATAGTTTTCCTTCTTATGTTAGTTCTGTGTGTGTCGCTTTAAAGTTTATTTAAGTAGAAATTGGGATTTGATTGTAATTATATATAGATATAGAAATTATTATCGCTAGGAATGAAAATAATTTTAACATATTTTTTTATTTGGATATTTATTTATGAATTAGTTTATTTTAATAATATAAATAATTTATTATATATTATATAAAAATAGAAAATTTTTATTAAATAATAAATTATCTTTTTTATTTATAGCATTATATTATATTTTTATTTTTTATTCTTTAGTTAGTATAATTTGCAAAAACAATATTTATCATGTACTTATAATTATTTTAAAAATGAATATTTAAATAAATATTTATTTTATTTTAAAATTAAAAATATATTTTTATATTCCCTTAATTATAATTTTTTTATTTTATTAAATTTAAACTAAATTATTTAATTTTTTATTTTATCAAAAACATTATTAATAAAATTTAATATTTTAAATAAAAAAAATTATAGAAATTATATTTAAAAGAAGAAGCGACTAATAAGGAGATAAACCTCCTTTTCAAATAGAAAATTTTTATTAATATCAAAAACTCTTTATCTTAAACAGAATTTCGATTAATTTCTTCAAGAAAAAATATAAATGAATATTACTCATTCCAAAAATATTCAATAGATTTTTTTTTACAAAGATGTTTTTCCAAAATAATTTATTCATTTTGATTTTTTTAAATCATATAAAAAAGATTAATGATATCTTTAATTTGTGCATTAGAAAACTTATTTCTTTAAAAAAAAAATTAATTTATTTTTCTTTAATTTTATAATAATAAATCAAAAGTATTTCTATATGTTTGTCTATAAATAAATTCATTCAAAAAAAATTAGACTAATTATAAAAATAATTTAATTAACTTCAAGAAATCGAATACAAATAAATTTAAAAAAATAAAATATATATTTCTTTATCCTCTAAAAAAAATATATAAACTATATTTTAAATTAATAAAATCGAGTAATAAGAAATACTGTAGAAATTTATATAAAGCAATCAAACATAATTATATTTTAAATATTTAAATTATATTTGTTTCCTGTTTCGTCCTGTTTACTGCTTATGTAATTTCAGAATATTTTCTTTCTTTAACAATTTTTCATTTTTTAAAATTTCTATTAATTTATTTTAGGGTTTTTTATTTATAGCGAGTATTTTCATTAAAATAATATACTTTTTTTATTAATAATACTCTCAAATCTATATTTTTGGCTTTTTATATGATCTGAAGAAATAACACTTAATTATAACTTGTATAATTATTTATATTTATTTAATAAGAATTATTGAGAATAATATATTACTAATTAATTATTTGAATTGAAAATATTTTTATTTTTCAATTATTTCATTTTATAAATTATTTTTTTAATTAAAATATAAATATTCAGAAAAATTAGTTTTTTATATTTTATAAATTAAGCAAGATATTTTGAAAAATATATACTTATTAATATTTTTTTAAGCATAATAATATATTAAATTTATATTCTTTTTTATTGATTAATCTTTATTTAAACTTACAAAATCTTAACTTTTTTAATATTTTTATTAATTTTCTTTACTATCAATTAATTTAAATATAAATAAACAAATAAATTATATATACCTTTATTATTAATAATAGAATAAATAATCAAATAAAACTTTGTATATTAGAAATAAAAATTCAAAAATTATTTTATGTTCATTTTTAAAGTTATAATATTAAAAAAAATAAAAAAAGAAGAAAATAAATAAAATATATAAATATAAAGAAATACTTTTATTTCATAAATATTATAATAAATAAATAACAAGAAATAAAAAATAAAAATGGAATATTCCTATTCATCTTAATTAAATGTAAAAATGAACTCTTAACACTTTGATTATAAATAATGTTGGGATTTTTCAGAAAGACATTTTACTTGTATGGATAAATTTGATGATGTACATGGTAACAAAAATTATAATTATTTAAAATTTAATTTAAAAAAAGAAAATCATTACAAATGCAACGATACATATTAACCATGGTAATAAAATTGTGATGCAGGAATTAGAAGAAGTTAAATGGATCATAGAAGATAAATGAGATAAGATAACAGATTATATAGTTAATAATAATTAGATTCTTACAATAGAAGAAAAAATCAATAAGCATTATAAACATAATAACCAGAAAGATTTAAATTCTTTTATTGAACAAAAATATATATTTAAAGCATTCATTATTATATTTATTTCATATTATTTTTAATATTCGTTATAATATTAAAAAATAATAAAAATAAATATTTATTTAATTCATAAATAGTAACTTTGTTTTTTGCTTTTTTAGCGTTTAAATAAATTTATTTTGATATTTATATTTTATTTATTGTATTTATTTCTTATATTAAATATTTATCAATATATTTTTTTAAATAAAATATAATATGTAAGACTTATAAAATACATATACCATACATTTGCTTAAAAAAAATTCTTTTACATTATAAAAACTATAAAAAGAAATAAATAAGATTAAAATTATAAAAATCTTTGCTTTGAGAAAATAAAAATTAAAGAAATATACAAAAATAAAAATATCTAAAAAAATAATAGGAAAAAAAATTATTAAAAAAAATATCATATATATATATATATATAATTGAAAAACCAGCCTAACATCTTTATAAGCACATTTATTCTATTATTTATTGCCTAAAATAAAATTTAAGCAAATGATACTTATTTAATAGTTACATCGCCAGTATTAGAAAACTAACCTTTATGTATTTCTTTAAAAAACAAATTATTAAACAATAAAAATAATAAAAAAAATAGATATAAAAGTCCGATTAGCAAATTTCGGTCATCAACCTTTTGGTCATAAAGTAAACGGAAAATTAGAATTAGCTTTAGACCTTCCAGATTGGCAAGAAACAGATTAAATAGATGAAAAGTTAAAATATGAAAGAAACATTAGTATGATTGAAGCAAACATCACAGCATGTAGTCACGTTCGCCTATATAACGAAAAATATTACCAAGAATATTAAAGACCTATATTACTAGCTGAAGCAGGAAGTTGTAATTTCTTAAAAAAATCAATTTTATCCGAAAATTCACATGCGAAAATGCTAATTATATCCCGATAACATCTAATTTAAAAGGAAAATAGACCCCATCCACACCCAAATGTAATAAATGATGATCTATCAGGCCATGAGTTGAATATTCCAGTATTAATAATAGAAAAAGAAGACGGTGATAAACTCAAAAAATATGTTTAAGATTATACTCAAGTATGGGTTTCTGTATAATTTAACAAAGTATTTTTTTTTTTATTAAAAATCAAAGTTTATATATATTTTTTTTAATAAAAAAGCCACAAGATTAAGGAATTGCCGATATATAATATTGGATGTTACCTTCAGATAAAAAAAGCACATAATGGATATTAAAAAATAAAAGATTTTTCGAAAAAATTGTTTAAACCTCTCAAGCCAAATTTTCTCCTCATTTCGTCTTTTATTAATATTGTGATAAAACTTGCTAATAAGCATACGATGCGACTACTATACCTTAAAATATTACATCTTAATGTCTTTCTTTTGGCAGATACTGCCATTTAGATCCTGATGGTAATGGCCCTTTGCAAGGAAAGGATTCAGTTTTATAAGCTTTAGATGAATTATGTGTTGCTAAATCTATCCCTTAATCCTATTTTTAATATTCCTTATATTACTTTACATGCTATAATAGTATTTCCCCAAATGTAGCAGCTCATGGAGCATGTCATGATCAAGCGATTCTATATTCTTAAGGAATTGTATAAAATAAAATAAATAAACTTTAATAATAAGTAGAGCAATGTGTTCATGATAGTTGGTATAAGAAATATCCTAATATCCTTATTGATGATAATAAATTACTTAGAGAAGAATATGAACTTTTTAATGTGCAAGGAATTAGATTTTATCCTTAATTATTTGTAAACGGAGAACCTTTTAGAGTATTTTTTTTTTTAAAAAAAAAATCTATATTATATATATAATAAGGGTGATCTTAAATAACTTCAAAGTGTCTAAGAATTTATTTGTTATGCATTACATAAACCTCTAGAAATTGAAGAATGTGCAAAAATATTGAACTAAGGTTAAAATGAGAATCTTGACGGTAGTGAACATTGGGAATATGTATAATCTCGAAGTAAATATAACGATTTGATCATTTATTTTGTCATTTCTTGTTTTGCTTTGGTAATTTTTATGGTTGGATTATTTTTTTATAGAAGAAATCTTAAATAAGAGTTCTAAAATTAATTAAATCTATAAGTTAATAGTGCTATTTCATAATATTATACCCTTTAAGAATAAAAATAATGATTTTAAATATTTTTATTTTGTTGTTGTTTTTTTTTTTAATATTAAAAACAAATATGATTATATTATGTTTAATTTATTAAAAAAAATATTTATGAAAATAAAAAAATTTTAATTATTTTTTAAAATTAGTTTTCTTTTTATAATATTTTGTTCTATGTATATAATAATTTATTATTTTTCTCCTAATATTTAATATTATTAATTTTATTTATTTTGTTTTAATAAAATTTCAAACACCATGTATTCTTATATTTTCTTCTGTTGTAATACCTTCGTTTGCTAAAAATTTGGATATATTTTCTCTATGATCACCATTTAACCTAATAGTTTTTTATCCATCTTCTTCTACAAGGGTACCATTACAATTAAGCCACTTTAAATTTTAAAAAATTAAATTAAATTAAAAGTTTACATTTATATATATATTTATAAATTATAATTATAATTTATTTCCAAAATAATATTATTTAAATTAAAATATTTACTTTTTTCCAGTATTTAATAATTTTATTATAATCGAAAATCGGGGGTATTCCTTCAATACTTGTAAAACATTTTCTTCCTCTTCTTTATTATACTCTAATGTCTAATTTTTTTTATATTTTAATATATTTTTTCTGTGCATTTTTTTATATTTACGAATTATTGAAAAATCATCTAATTCGTTAAAATCATCACCGAATTAATCGTCTTTATCGTCCATTTTTAATTTTACTTTTTACTATTTTTTTTAATATTTTTTTTAATTAAATATTATTTAATTTTATTTTATTTGTATATATTTTTAGTTTTATAATATTTGCTTTTAGTTTTTTTTTTTTAAAAAGAAAAAGTTGAAATAATATTTTTGTATATCCAAAAAATAATATAATTAATATATTTAGTTTTTTTTAAACTTAGAAATTTTATTTAATAATTGTTGATTATATGAATTTTTAATTTTATAGTAAATATTTTCTAATTTATAAAAAAAAAGTATATTAATAAAAAGTTTTTAGAAGATTAATATAAAAAATCTATATAAAGAAAATAAATAAAATATTAAAAATAATATTTTAAAAAAAGCAAAGAAAATAAATAAATTATATAAAAAAAAAAAATTAAAATATCTTTTTTATGTAAATTAATTTATACACTTGAACAAAAAATAAAGCAAAAATTCTTTTCTTTAAAATAAAAAAAAAAGAGAAAAAGGATAAAACCAATGCAACAACAACTTCCATCTCCCAAACAAAAAAAAAAACAAAACGACGAAAATTAAAATCCTTTTACTTTAGGATTAAAAATTCACCAAATTCTAGTAATGTGGGCCCCCGCCCTTCGAATGACAATTCTTCTTTTAATATCCATAATATCAGTATTAGTAAGAGTATATTCCGTGATTCGTTACGAAAGCATAATCCATGAATTTGACCCCTGGTTTAATTACCGAACCACATAATTTCTTGTAACTAACTAAGATGGAATATACGGGCTTTGGAATTGGTTTGATTCCGAATCTTGGTATCCATTAGGTCGTTCTGTTGGAGGTACATTATATCCTGGTCTAATGGTTACCGCAAGTTCTATATATTGGAGTTTACATAAATTATATATGCCAGTAAAAACAAAAAATAACAATTAAAAAATATAAACTAAAATAAATAGGTTGATATAAGAAATGTATGTGTATTTTTAGCTCCAATATTTGCTGCGTTTACAAGTATAGCAAGTTATTTGTTGACCAAATAAGTAACAGGAAAATCTGATGCTGGCTTATTTAGTGCTTTGTTTATTTCCATAGTGCCTACTTATATGTCTAGAAGTGTTGCAGGTTCATATGATAATGAAGGCGTATCGATTTTTGCTTTAATTTTAACTTTTTACTTATGGTTAAAATCCGCAAATACAGGTAGTATATTTTGGTCCTTAATGTGTTCTTTAAGTTATTTCTTTATGGTAGCATCATGGGGAGGCTATGCTTTTATTACAAACATAATTCCAGTTTTTGTCATATTTTTATTAATCACAGATCGTTATTCAAATAAAATTTATGTGGCCTATAATGTATTTTATATTCTTGGAACCTTACTAGCAATGTAAATCCCTTTTGTAAGTTTCCAAGCGATTTATTCTTCTGAACATATGGCAAGTCATGGAGTATTTATATTTTTATAAATACATGCTTTTATCAATTTTGTAAAAGAATATGTTAGTTAGAAAGACTTTTAGCTTTTAAAAAAATTCTTTTTAATAGGAATATCTATAATACTTCTTGTTACTTTCATTTTCATGCTAATTACAGGCAAAACAAAATGGAGTGGAAGAAGTATGACATTATTAGACCCTACTTATGCCAAAAAATATATTCCAATAATAGCTTCAGTAAGTGAGCATTAAGCTACTACATGGTCTTCCTTTTTTTTCGATTTGCATTTTTTGACTATTTTTGCTCCTGTAGGACTTTATTATTGTTTCAAAAAACCAAATTATGGTAAAATTTTTGTCGCTATATATCTAGTTTTGAGTGTTTATTTTGCCTCAGTTATGGTTAGACTTTTGCTAGTTTTAGGACCTGCAGTTTCTATTGTAGGAGGTATAGGAGTTAGTTGGACAGTTAGATTGTTCACTAAATCTATTAGGAATTCTGTTTTGGGAACTAAAAGTTAGAAAAAACTTGCTGATCCTATTATATCATTCTTTGGTTTACTTCTTATCGCCTATTTAGTTATTATATATATACTTCATGCTAATTTTACAGGAGCTGAAGCTTATTCTTCTCCTTCTATTATTCTCTCAAATAGAGACTAGTATGGAAATAGAAGAATTATAGACGATTTTAGAGAAGCTTATTATTGGCTAAGAATGAATACTAAGCCTGATGAAAAAATACTCTCTTGGTGGGACTATGGATATTAAATTACAGGAATGTCAAATAGGTAAAAAAAAATTAAAGAAAATATATATAAATATATATAAAAAGGACTGTACTTGTAGATAATAATACATGGAATAATACACATATAGCAACAGTAGCTATGGCACTTGCAAGTAGTGAATCTGATGCTTATGAAGTTTGTGATAAATTAGATGTTGATTATATATTGATGATTTTTGGAGGATTTTCTTATTTTTCAGGAGACGATATTAATAAGTTCCTTTGGATGGTCAGAATTGCTGGAGGAGTATATCCTCATGTCAAAGAAGAAGATTTTTATGGGAAAGGAGGACAATATAAAATTGATGGATAAGCTTCTATTACTATGTAAAATTCCTTAATGTATAGATTAAGTTATTATAGGTAATTATTTATTATTTAGAGTTTATATTTATATATATATATATAGATTTAATGAAATTCTTACTGCAATAGGTAAACCTAAAGGGTGGGATACTGTTAGAAATTAAGAAATGGGTCTAAAAAATTTTAAATTAGATTACTTTGAAGAAGCTTTTACTAGTGAAAATTGGATAGTTAGAATTTACAGAAGAAAACCAAGAAAAAATAGAGAAGGAATTGTCTTTTTATCTAAAAATTTAATGAATTTCCCTTAAAATTTAGATGAGTTTAAAGTTTCAGTTGAAATTTTTGATGATCTTAAATATAAATATAAGGTTATTTAAAGAAAGAGAAAAATAATTGCTTAATGAGATTTTTTTTTTTTTTGATGTTTATAATTAAAAAAGGTTATTTTATAATTTTATTATAAATAAATACATTAAAAAAAAATAAAGATTAAATTATTTAATAACAAAAAAAAATAAAGTATTTTATTAATATTATTATTTCATTTAAATTCAAATATTTTTTATTTTTATTTTTATTTTTATTTTATTAAAATTTAACAATCAAATTTATTATGAGTAATTTTTCATTTAATAAATAAAATGAAAATTAGTAAAAATAAAAAAACATAAATCAATAAATCTAATTAACATTAAATAATAATTATTTTATAAAAATAAATAAACTAGAATTCTAATATAATTTAATCCCAAAGGTCTCAAAAATTTTTACGAAAAACACAAATAATCTTTTTAATCAAGAAAAGAGCCATAACATCATAAATTCTCGATTAATATTTTGCGTTAAAAGTAATCAAAAATCATTAAAAGCTAAAAATATAATTTATATAAATAGTAAATATAAATTTAAAAATACCACTTTATAATAATATTTAAATGAATAACAAATAAAACCTGATTGTAATAATAAAATATACAATTGTAAAACAGGATAAAGTTCACAACCAAAACTTTAATATATAAATAATTTAATTAGAAGTAATAAAATTACGACATAAAATAATAATTTATCTTCAAAAAAACTTGAAGATGAAATGAACGAAACAGCCAAATTCGGATTTTCTTAAAAGATAGTAACACATAAATAAATTTAAAATTAACAAAATAAAAACTCTTTCTATAGTCCTTAAAAATATATTAAAGTAATTAAATTAGAGAAAATATTTAGAAATAAAAATTTAAAATAACTTGATTTGAACAAAAACTTATTAAATACAAGCTAGTTTAATTTCTATTCTTATAAATAAAATTCTTCATTTGAATAGACTAGATCTAAAAGCAAAGAAAGCAGAGCAAGAAGCCCTTAATAAATAAAAATTAAAGTTTTACCTGTTAAAAATAATGGGATTCTTTATGATTTTTAAAAAATGTAAACAAGATAGGCTAGCCCAAAATATTGATACTATACTAATTTTTTCAAAAATAAATAATAAATATAATTAAGTGATATGTATTTAATATATAATTAATTAATTTAAATAATATAAAATTTTTAAATGATATGGTGATTTTAATTGTAATATTATATTTTAAATAATATATATTATATAGATAATTTTTTAAAATAAAAATTATAAAAATAATATAATATAAATTATAATATAATAAATATATTTTATTATATATTTAAAATATAGAAAAGTAAAAAATTATAATCAATATTAAATTAAATTGCATGTTTTAGATTAAATATTAAAATTATTTGAATTTCCTTAATTTTCATTAAGATAATTATTTTTTTTAAATTAATTATTAAAATTAAAACTGTTATTATTAGTATTATTATTATCATTATTATCATTATTAAAATTATTATTATATGTTATTTTAAAATTGAAATTATAATTATAATAGTTTTTATTACTAATATTTTATATATTATTACAATTATTATTATTATTTATCTCTTCATTTCTAATATCAGTATTAACAACTTTATTATTTATAATATTATTAAATAACTCAGGTTTAGAAATGGGAGTAGTATATGATCTATTTTTTCTAATTTATAAATATTCATCAGGTTAAACATTTTAATTATTTGCATTTGAAAATATTTCAATATTATCTTAACAGATAGGAGACTTTGTACTTATTTTATGTATAGTATTATAATTTTATGTATTTGATTATATCTAATTATTTGTTTTATAATTAATATTTTCTTTTTAGCTTTCAATAAAGCAAGTTTAATATTATTATTACTATTAAATTTACTACTACTAATGCAACTGATATTACTATTACTATTATTACTGTTACTAATACAATTATTATTAATATTACTATTAATATTATTATTATTATTATTATTATTATTATTATTATTTATTATTATTAATTTTATTAATGTTATTTATTTTTTATATTATTTTTTTATTCTAAATTTGAAATATTTATTTTTTATTCTTCTTCTTTACTTATTAATTTATTTTAATCTTTTATTATCATTAAATTAGGTTATTTTTAATTTTATTGCATTTTATTATAAAATGGTTTTTTTTATTATTATATGTTTAACTAATCAATATTTGTAATTGAACGATATCTTCCCTCGAATATTTATATATTATTATTTTCAATTTTATTATTTATATTACTTTTTTGATTATTATTGTTAAATTAATTTTCTACCTTTTATTTGTTTTAATTTAATTATTATTCTAAAAACATAACACATTAATTAACAATTTATAGAGGTCTCTATTCATTATGATCTCCTTCGAAATATAAAATCTAAGAATCGCTTTTGTAATATTTTTTTAATTTCTCACTATGATGAGCTCCAACAAAGCTATCTTTTTTCGAACAAATAAAAAAAGCAGGAACATTACATTTTTAAGCTATTTTTACTACATCTAATTCACTAATATCGAAATTAGCCTTTTTCTAAATTGTTGACTTAATAATACTAAGTCCCCCTTTTATTAAAAATTTAGGTAATCCAGTTTTATTTTTGCATATTTCTGTCGCCAATTTCATAAAATTACTAAAAGGAGAATCTAAAACAATACAATTTATCGAAGGATCATTAGCTACGTACATTAAAGCTTTAATAAAAAAATTTAAAAAATTATAAATAACTAATATACCTGTTACCGCACCCATAGATCTTCCCCATAGACTTAAAGATGAAGCTAATTATTTTTATCTTATGTAATTTACAACTAATTATACATCTTCCAATTCATAATATCCTAAAGAAATGTATTCTCCATCTGATTATCCACTACCTAAGAAATCAAAAAGAAATACTTAAAAGCCTTTATTAATTAAACTTTGAACATATAATTAACCTTCTAAACGACTTCCACTATTACAATGTAAATATATAACTGTCGGTTATGGCAATTTTCGTTAAGAAAATTAATAAAAACTGCATTAGATTTGCTAATTTTTATTGTTTGTGAGTGCAAAATCAAATCTTAATACTTTTTCACGTTTTTCTCTCGTTAATAATACTTAAGGACCTAAATCGTTTATTGTATATGTTTATCTAGTTGGACGTATTATTGATTTCCATAATAATTCATAACCAGGAAATATACTCATTTTATTTTCTGTTTTTTTATTTTTTCTTCTTGTTTTTTTATTTTTTCTTCTTGATTTTTTCTTTTTGTTTTTTAATTATTATATTATTCTTTTTTTTTTACTTTAATTTTTATTTAAAAATATAATAATATTTACTAATAAATAAGTTTTTTAATTTATTTTTTTAAAAAAATAAAATCTATAAGTAAAAAAAGTTAAATATTATTATTTTGCTATTTGCTTTTAAAAAAAGGTTGGCTTATTAGAAAAAATTATATTTTTTGGCCCAATTTTGTGATAGTTTCAATATAATTTTTTTAATTAACTTATATTAATTAAACGGAATTCAAAAATAATTATATTTTTAACATTAAATATGAAGAATATTGTATATAAGGGTATATATTGAAATATGTTAAAATAGATATTTATATTTCATTTCATTTTATTATAGAAAAAAAAACTATTCAGCACAAAAAAAAAAAAAAAAAAAGTAAAAAAATAGAATAAATGTATTTGAATGAAAAAAATAATGTAAAAAATATAAAAAAATAAAATAAAATAAATATAAAATATTACTAATTTAAAAAAAAAAGGAAAAAAAAAAAAAATTTAAAAATTAAATAAAAAAGTTCAAGAAGTTAAATATTACTAAATAAAATTTTAGAAATAAACAAATTAAATCCAAAATTTAGTGTTAAATAATTATATAAAAGAAAGTATTAAAAAAGTAATAAATGTTTTAAATCTAACCTATAACAGCAAGTTTTATTTAATAAAGATTCAGACCTTTAGATGATCCAATATTGGAATGCTCTAAAGAAGATTATTCGTTAAATAATGAAGTTTAAATTACAAACAAACATTTGCGATCCTAATAAATAATTATAAACCATATATAAGACCTAAAATAAATGGAGGATTCAATATTATTATCAAATAATAGAATATCTGAAGTATTAAATAAAACTAGTTCAGGAACTTAAGATGTAAATAATACTTAAAATAACTAAACAAAAAATTTAGATGTTGAGGAAAATATATTAAGCGATATAAAGAAAAATCCAAAAGACAATTTATTTTTAATTGAAAAAAATGCTAAGAGAAAAAAGTTTGAACTGAAAAGCAAAAATACATAAAAAGATAAATAAAATTAATAATAAATTTAGCTTGAATAAAAATAATTAATGTGCAAAGTTTGCTAAAAAAAAGTAATTTCGAATACTATTATTTAAGAATTAAACTCTTAATGTACAAATAGTTTCCATTAATTATTTTAATCATGCTTTCCTTGTGCTTGCACTAATTAAATTTAATAAATTATTCATTAATGCCCTCTTTGTAATTATTAATTGGTAAATAATTAATGATAATAATAAATAGTTAAGTCTAAATTATAAATTAGTTTTGCTTTTTATTTTCTATATTAAAAAATATAAGCATAATTTTTTGTATTTTATATAATTAAGTAAATTTTATATATTTCCAAATAAAATTTAAGTATTAATTACAATAAAAGTATAAATTAATTATTATTATCTTTTTCAATAAATAAAATTTAATATTTTATTTAGGTTAATAAAATTTAATATTTTATTTAGGTTAATAAAATTTAATATTTTATTTGGGTTAATAAAATTTAATATTTTATTTAGGTTAATAAAATTTATACATATGTATTTGTTATTATTTTAATTTAATATAATTATTTATATATCAAAATAAGAAAATATTTTAATTAATATATATATAAGATTAAAATAATAAATAGAATAATATTATGCTGAAAAATGAAATATAAATATAAGTCAATTTTTAATTTTATTTTAAATAATAAAACAATTTATTTGGTTAAATTTTAAAACATACAAAATATATATATATGAATAATAAGAAACTAGCAAAAATAAATAAATTCATTAAATAGAAAAATTAATTTATTAATTAAAATTATTTTAAACAAATTTTGTTTTTAAAAATATAATTTTTTTTATTTTTTAGAAAATTTTAATGATTTTAGTCATTCTAAAAAATATTACACTAAATTCTTATTAAAATTAAGAAAGAATAGTCTATAATAATAAAAAATAAATAGAAATTCGAAAACTACTTATTTAAGTATTTTTAATATTTAAAAAGATATTTTATATTAAAATAAAAAATCGGGGATTATAATAATCTATATAAATGAGTTTTTAATAAATATATTTTTGTTTGTTTTAAAAAATTAAAATAAAGTGGCACGAATTCCTATATTTACTAATAACAAAAACTATGTTTTTCTTTAAATATAACTTAAGCTAATTATTAAGTTAATTTAACATGTTATTCTTGTTTTAAATCGACTTAAAAAATTAATTTTATCCCTTCTTAATTTTATTATTTATATAAAAACTAAATTTAAGATTTTTATTGAAATAAATGAAACTAAATAAAAAAAAGGGCTTAAATAAAAACTACAAAGTACTCCTGTACCTAAAATTCAATAATATTGATAAATATTAAATAGCAAATAGAAAATAAATAAAATATTTATATTATATAAAAAAATCGATTAAACAATATGTAGAATGAAAGAATATAAAAATTTTTAGTCAAAGCCTTCTTAATCATTCAAATTAAAAAAATAGTAGTTAAATCATATTACTTGTATGATATTAGTCAAATATTATACAATAAGTAATAATATTTAATTACATTTTTTTATCAATAATTATAAATAAATTCTATTTAAATAAATATTTTATTTGTTATTATATGTCTATATTTATCTTTTCTTATTAAAATTAATAATAATGAATTCATATATGAATCTTTTTTAAAAGTATTATTCTATTTTATTTTTTAGTTTAATTTAAAATATTAACTAAATTAAATAATTTCGTTCTTAAAAATAGTTTATATTATAATAAATAAATTATATTTTTTATAGATCTTCTAGAACCTTAAAAATATTAAAATTATTTATTAAATAAAGATGAATTTAATATTAAAAAATAAAATAATTAATTAAAATAATTTTTATTTTTTTCCTCTAATTAAAAAAGATATAAGAAAAATAATATTATTGTATTTCGCAAAAAAATTAAGATTTTAAATAATAATAAATAAAAACAAAATAAATTTAATATTATTTTTTTAGAGTAAATATAATATATAAAAAAACAACAATAATAATAAAAACCAAAAACTCAATTTAGAGATTCACACAAAGCCGCATCAAGGAAACTATTCCATTCAGAAGGATTCTTTCTTTATAATTCCATAGCTAATTATTTAATTTTATGTATCATATTTTCAATTTATTATTTACAAAACTCAATTGCAAATTAATCCTATACACTCAATTAAATTCCAAGCAAATTTTTTTCAAGAATATTATGGAACTCATAAAGCCTAGTATGTCCAGCCTTCCATTCATTAAATTCCTTTTTAAGTTCTTCAAGCATTAAGAATACTTTGTTTCCATCATTTTAAAATAATTAAGGTAAAAAAAACGCACAGATATTCTTGTCTTCATTATTCAAACATTTAAGAATCATCAAGCAAGGAATATTAAGAAAAATATCAGCATCCCTACATTCCACTTATTCAGAAAAATGCTTATATTTTTAAGCTGTGGTTTCTATTATATGAGAAAAGTGTACTAAATAACTCAACTTTTTAGGGTCAAGAAAATAAGATTACCCTTTTTCCCAACTTTATTCATATTCAAATAATGCTTCGACTAAATCGATATTATTTTTTAATTAAGGGTCTACCATTTCCATATTCTATTAATATTTTAAAAATAATTTTCTTAGTTTTTGGAAAGAATTCTTTATATTTTCTGCTAATTATCGTACTGCCTAACTTTATTCTTTTGTTATTTTTCTTAAAATACATTCACTTTCTTATAAAACTTCAAATTAGAGATCGTCTCGTCCTTTTCCTTCTATATTTGCAACAGAATTTAATTAATTTATTATATTACATAATTTTTTGTATAAATTATGTATATCTTGGTTAAATATAAACTTTTTTCCTTTTATTTTTTCTCGTATTTCTATCGATTCTAATTCTTACTCGATTTCTATTGCTTTTTATATATATCTTCTTGCATCATTTTCTATATGCATTAATTCTAATACATACGACTTATTTTTTTATTATTAAATTTATATTCATTTTTTAAATATTTTTTTTTTACCTTTTCAAATTTTACCCATATTTAATCAAATTTTTCAATAGAATTTATAATTTGGTCTTTTATTTGTTAAATTGAAAAAGTACAACTTTCTTAGCAAATTTTACTGTATGTACTTCTCATTATGTATTATAATTAGAAAAAATAATCAAGCAATTATTAACCTGCATTTAATACTTCATTTGAAAATATATATTTATCACCATTTACCCATAGATAAGGAAATCCTTTTTTTTATTTTTTAAATAAAATAATTTTTTTGTTTTCTATATTTTTATTTTTAAATAAAAAATACCTTCTTATGCACTATCTAATATTTCAGTTAAATAACATAGTTCGTTATCTTTAAAAAGAATTTTATATGCTTTAGAAAATTATTTTCGATATTCTCTGCATAATGTTTATATTTATAAAATCTTTTTATTATAATTTTTTTTTATTTTTATTAAAATAATAAATTATTTACTTCGCATAATTTCTCTATTATTTATAATAATCTTCTGCATGCTTTTTATCCATCTTATGAATCTAAGTCATATTTTTGATAGTTTTTTTAAACTAAGTTTTATGAGCATAATACTGCCTATTCTAATAACAAAAATTCTTAAGATCTTTTAAATTATTCTATTTATGTTAAAGGCCTTGCTGGAGCTGTACTAATTCTTATGTATGTTTTTTCATAAAAACTACCAAGTTCAGAAGAAGCTTTTAATTAAAAAAATAATAAAAAATATATTATGCCATATTTTTGTTTAAAAATAATATTATAAAGTAAAATTTTTACTTACAATCATCTTTTTATTATTGATCTTGTTATTATAACTAATATTATTAATACTCATTATTCCAAAACTATTATTAATTTAAAACCTAATTTTATATTGCATATATATGTGTATTTCTCATTTATATTTTATTATTATTTTTTTATAGTTTATTATATTTTAGTTTTCTTTATTGCTTTTTTTTTCTATGTTGTAAAATTTATTATTATTAAAATTTCGCTAAAATAAAAAATATATTAATAAAATTTATTTATTATTATTTAAATATTTTAATATATGTTTCTATTTCTTTTTTCAATTAAAAATAGTTACAATTATTTAAAAAATGTCTATTATTTTTTAAAAATAATATGTAAATTCGGATAAATAAATTTTAATAAATAAAAACTAAAAAAAAAAAAATATAATATACTTTAATTATTTATAAAATATTATATATATATTTATTTTAATTAAATAATATGTAAATTTCATTATATAAATATATTAAACACTTCCTTAAAATAAAATCATTTAATTAATTATCTAAAAACGATATTATTATAAAAATAAAATTAGTTTAAAATATATATTTTTAAAATAATTAAAAATAAATTAAATTTAATGATAGATATTACTTAAAATAAAATAGTAATCTTAAAAAATAAAAAGGTTAATTTCTTTATACTTTAGTAATTTATTTTTCCTTAAAAATAAATACTTTTTTATTGATCTTAATTTGCATTTTCATTTTTAATTTTATTTTTACAAATACCAAATTTACAATTTAAATATATCTAATCCCAAAATTAAAATATTCACATTATATTTTCAACCAATTAGAATTTTTAAAAGTATATCGTTTTTTTATGTCTATCAAATATTTATATAATAATTTGAAACTTATTAGTAAATGCGCTCTTGTTTCTATTTTTAGCATCATTAATTAATTTCAATTTTTATTAATGATCCTTTTCTTTTCATGATTATTTCTATAATCAGTGTATAAAAATTTTTAATTACAAATTTTCTTAAGAAAAAACATTCACAATATAATTTTAAACATTATGATTTTTTACATTTACAGAATTTTAAATTTCTTTAAAATTTATTTTCATTATTAATATTTTATTATTATAGTATTTATTTATATCTTTGTAGTTTACTGTATTTCTTTAATTAATTTTTTTGTATTTTATTATCTTTTTATTTTTATTATTTTCTTTTAAATTACAAATAGTTTTTATTTAATTATTATTCTCTTAGTCTAATATTTTTTATCTAGCAGCTCTTTATTCTTTTTAGCAACCTTATTGATAATTTCCTAAAGAAAGTTTCCAAATAATTAACTGATTTTTTTATCTAATCATAATTTTATTATTTATAAATAGCTTTTATTATTATTAAAACCTTAACTATTTTAATAAATAGGTTTTATTTAAAAAAAAAAATATTATTTTAAATTCCAATAATAGGGTCAACATTTATTCCCTAGTATTTCATTATTTTAAAGATTTTAACTAAATATAATTACATTCTTCATTTAATTTTTATAATTTAAATAAATAGTATCATACTATTTATTTTAAAAAGATAATAGTACTATCAAATTATTTATTATTTCTTTTTTAGGAAAAATACAATATTGTTTGATTCATTTATACTTGACATAATTTATAAGCACTATACTATGAAACTTATTTAAAATTTTCTCCATTGATAATTAATTGTATGGAATTATATTTTAAATAATATAGTTGCTAATTTTAAATATATTATAATTTTAATAAATTAGATCAAAACTATATTCAGAAAAAATAAAATTTAGATATTATCTTAAGATTAGATAAGCTATTTTTTTAATTTTTTTTAATATTTATGTTAAAAATATTATATTTATAAGATTATAGATATTTTTAAAAATATTAAATTTATTATAATACATACAATTGCATACAATTTTCTTAATTTTTATATATTTCTTTAAGTATATATTTTTTATAAAATTAAAATTTTTCTTTATTATTTTAAATAAATTATTATAAAATTTAATTATTGAAAAAAAATATATTTAAAAAATTTTATAAATTAATATTTTATTAATAAAAAATAAAAATAAAAAATAAACAAAATAAAATAAAATACATATATCTATATTTTTTTAAAAAACAAAAATTAAAATAAAAGAAAATAAAATTATATACTTAAAAAACTTAAAAAAAAAAATTATTTAATAAAACAAAATTAAAAAAGAAAAATGAAAAAATGTTTATTGCCATATTCTTTCAAAGGCCTTTCCTATAGTCTGAATAATCAATTATTTTTAAATAATTTAATTCCAATTACCTAATCTGAAACTTTTTTAGGATAAGGAATGTACTCATAATTTTCTTAAATATACACTAATACATTACAAGCTATAAGTGAAAACGATACTGAATACTTAGAATAAGTAATGGAAAGAAATTTATTTAAACACATTACAAAAGCAATGAATTAATTAAACTCGGAAAAATTAAAAATAAATTATATTTAGCCTAAAGAAGAAAACGATTACTAATAAATAATGAATGATGAAAGCATTGAAGATTTAGATGAAACACAAGATGAAGAAGAATAAGTAGAAGAAAAAAATAAAAAGCAACTGAAAAAGCCGCAAAAATATATAATTAAAAATTCATATATTAAGAAGAAGATATGAGAATCGCAGTTTCAGCAAAAGCAATTTTAGGAGCAAGAATAAATAGAGAAGAGAATTCTTAAAAAAAACCATATAAATATCGTAGTCATACAGGAAATAGAGTATATTTTATAGATTTGAAAAATATATCATCATTATATTATAACTAAATACTTTAATTAAATATTTATTTTTAAACTTAAAGAAAATTAAATGTAACTGATAATGATAATGATTTTGTTTTTGGAGATAATAATGTTAAAAAATATGTAAATCATATGTGGATTTTCGAAACTTATACGCCTAATTTTGATTGGGTTTTAGTTGATATGGATAATTCATTAAATGGAAACCCATATTTTAATTTATTAAAAGCTGAATCTTGATGATATAATAAACTTTATATAAATATTATAATATATATATATATATATATATATATATAATATATATATATA